TCTTTTTCTCTTCTTTAATGACCAGCATCAATATTTAGGACTTTAAAAAAAGATGCTTCTGGGAGTTTCACCATTTGGCACCTGGCAGTAGGTGGGAAATGTCATTACATAAACCCCCATTCAAGTTAAGAGGCAGGTGGTATTTTTGGAGAAGTCAGTGTCAACATGGGGCTATAGCCACAATGACTGCCTCCAGCCCATCTGCAGAGACATTTCTGTCTCTGACAAGTAAAACCCCCTCCCTCTGCCTGCTTTGACTGCCTCCCTGAGTTCCCCTTTTCATCTGACCTTGAGTTTCAACTTGATGAGTTATCAAAAGGACAGGCCACTGGATTCTACCTGGCAGGAACTTCAGAGGCTGTGCCTGTGGAGAAGGGCTGTTTTCTGCGCCTGTCACATCTTGTTGATTCATTGAACAAATACTCATTGAAGTACTTTTTTAAAAGTCCCAAGCACTATGCTAGGGTGTAGAATGACCAAAGAATGAACAAATTAGACATAGTTCCTACCTTCAAGGAACTTACATGTTGGGAAAACTGAAGTTGCAGCTTGTCCAGCTGTGCAGGAGAGGTATGAGGAGCTTTGAAAGATTATACTAAGTGTAGTTGACATTGGGAGTTCAAGGGAACGTTTCCTGAGGAAGTAGCAATTGAGCTAAGAGCGAGGATGTGTAGGTGTTAGTCTGGAAAAGAAGGGAGAGAACAGCCTATGGGATGAGAGGACAGTGTGAATTCCAAGGACTCAGTGTGGGGAAAGGCCATATAAACGGACAGGGGAATGATGAGGAGTAGGATAGAAAGTGTAGAAAAAGGTGAGGAGGGTGACAGCAGACTGCATGAAGCCCGGAGACCATGAGATACCCCCTCAGGATTCTCCAGAGAAAGAGAACAGGTTTTTTTTGTGTGTGTGCATTGCCATATAAATAAAAAAGTCCAAAGTCTATAGGGCGGGTTGGCAGGGAGGCTAGAAGCTTAGGCAAGAGTTGATGCAATAATATTGAGACAAAATTTCTTCTCTTTTAGGAAAGAATTTTTATTTTCTGAAAAATCTTGATTTTTGCTGCTAAGGCTTTCAACTGATTAGATGAAGCTCACACTGACCGATTATAGATGATAAGTACAGTACATTTATCCAATGTTTTCACAGCAGCATCTAGATTAATGTTTGATTAAATAATTTGGTAGTATAGCCTAGCAAAGTTGACACATAAAACTATCACATATGGTAAGGAGTTATGTTTTGATACTAAGAGTAATGAAAAGCTCTAAAGAGTGGTGTGATTGGAATTCTATTTTCTGATTGTACTGTATGGTCTTAGAAGGTAGTTGGTGAATATTACCATAACCAGAGTTTCTTATGATGATCGTATAATATGAACTCTCTGGGAGGACTGGTTCTGTCCTACAAGGTGCTCTCACATTGGATCAGTCAAATTCTCCTCTTAGATGTACACCTGCTGTCTTGAAATTGCTTCCTAGGCAACATTTCACATACTGTTTTACTTTGTGTTGGTTTGTCTCTCTCTTTCAAATCAGATTAGAGACTCTTTTTTTTTGTACCAGGAATCGAACTCAGGACCTTGCGCTTGCCAGGCAGGTGCCTGTGCCACTGAGCTACATCCCTGGTCTTAGAAACTCTTTGGACACAGGAACCATATCTTACTCACTCACCGGTGCATGCACAGTGCCTGGGACAGTGGCTGGCATATGGCAAGCACTTTTGGATGAAAGCCTGAATGGGTTTATTGCACTTCCAAAGTGCCTTATTAAGAGTTCTTATGGAACAGCCCTATCATAACACTAAAAATTGTTATGCTCTTATTTCTAGGCTTTTTTCCCATTGGCATGTTATATAGTTGCTTTTTAACTTGTTCACATAGATCACCGTTTTGGAATATAGCAATTTTTTAAGTCAACTTATAAAAAATGTTGGAATAGTTTTGGATTTATGGCAAACTTGCAAAGATAGCACAGAAGAGTTCCTGTGTACCCATCACCCAGTTCTGTTAATGGTGATGTCTATAATCATGGTACATTGTCAAAACAAAGTAATATAGGTACATTACTATTAATCAAACTCCAGATTACATTTAGCTTTCAGCAGTTTTCCCCTGAATGTTCTCTTTCTGCTTTAGGATCCAGTCCCAGGTACCATGCTGTGTTTGGTCGTCAAGTCTTCCCAATCTCCTCTGGTGTATGACAGTTTTCTAGTCTTTGTTTTTCATGACCTTGAGAGTCTTCAGGATTACTGGCTATATGTCCTATAAAATATTCCCAGTCTGGGTTTGTCTGACGTCTCCTTATGATTAGATGGGGTTATGGGATTTGGGGGAAGAAAATCACAGGGGCAGAGTGTCTCTCTTGTCATATAGTATGATGTCATCTTCATATGATGTTAACTTTCATCATTTGACTAAGGTAGCATTTCTCAGGCTTGTTTTACAGTAGTATTATTTTTACATTTCCCTACTGTATTTTTGGAAATAAGTCACTACATTTAGCCCATCTTTATTTTACTTTTTGTTTTAAAGAGAATGAAAAATAATAAAAAAAATTAGAAACGATACAGAATTTCACTAAACAAGATGATAGGAATTCAACAATGGTCATCATATTGCATATTGTTGTCTTCAAATTAGTTGTTTGGATTACCAGATATAAACACGCAAAATTGGTAAAAAAAAATTAAAAAGAGGAAAAAAAATTTAAGCATTGAATGTTCCTTTCACGAGACCAGTAGAAATCTGCAGTATAATTATCCTAGTTGTTCTGTGTATACGCATATATATTTTTCTCTTTCTTTTCTTTTCTTTCTTTCTTTCTTTCTTTCTTTCTTTCTTTCTTTCTTTCTTTCTTTCTTTCTTTCTTTTTTTCTTTCTCTCTCCTTTCCTTCATCCCAGTTGTTCCTTCCCTTTGAGCAATTTCTTTCCCTTTCACAGTATCTATTGTACCTTTCAGATTTTATTTACTCTTTCAGGTTCTTACACTAGGGAGACAATATGATGTTTATACATGCAGGTCTGATTTATTTCACTTATGAGTATGGTCTCTAGATGCATCCATTTACCTATAAAAGCCTCGAGTTTATCTTCTTTTATAGCTGAGTAATACTCTATTGTATAAAAATACCACATCTTTTTACCCATTCCTCCATTGATGGGCATTTGGATTGTTTCCAAGATTCAGCTATGACAAATTGTGCTGCTATTAACATGGGTGCATGTATATCGCTGTGGTATTCTAGGTATTTTTCTAGACTATCTTTAAATAAAGAAAAGGGAAGAGATATTTCTATCACCTAGGGTAGATTGTCTACATACCTAATTCTTCCATAAGGAAGATTTGTCTCTTCTATTCCATTTATCTTTCAATCATTTACTTATATCAGTATGGATTTATGTATGTTTATTCTATACTGTGGGCAACAATCCAATAGGACATTATTTTATGTTGCTGCATAAATTTTTGTTTTTGTTTTTTGAGACAGGGTCTTTCTATGTAGTTCAGGCTGACCGTGGCTCACTGTGTATCCCAGGCTGGCCTCGAACTTGTGGCAATCCTCTTGCCTTTGCCTCTGAGTGCTTGGATTACAGGCATGCGCCGCCATGCCCAGGTTTGCTGCATAAATTTTTACAGGTTTGGTCTTGGGGAGCTCTTTCAGATTGGTTCCTATGTTTCTTGATGTGCCCCATACTTTTGGTTTGTAAACACTCTTTATTTCTGGTACTATCAGAGTCATCATGTGCATCTTATATTTTCCTTGTCCCAGCGCTAGATCGGCCAAAGATCCTTAGTTATTTTTTGTGGAAAAATGATATACATAAACTGAAGTCCAAGTGGTAGGTCTGCTTATTGCTTCTGGGCTCTCATTGCTTCTAGACTCTGTGAGTAGCTAGGAAATATATGTCTGTCTATTAGCCTTATAAATACATATCTTTAATTTCTATATCTATCTATGTATGCATATAGTAAGCCAAACATGAGTTTATATTGATATCTCTGATCATAATCCAGCTCCATAGTGTTTATTCTTCCCGCTTTTCTTGTTCCTCTGAAATTCCCTCTCTTAATAGTAAGAAACATGGCTCCCACCATCCACTCTCTATTTAATTATTTGTTCTACTTGGATATAAATGTATAGCTAGTTCAGAATTATTTATCTGTATTCACAAGAGAAACAAATTTACCAACTAGAGTACAGCATTTGTGCATGGTTCCTTCGTTTTGAATTAATCATTTTATAAGAAAGTGGCATAACATAGTAGTTGAGAATAGTCTCTAAAGCCAGATTATCTGGGTTTCAAATCTTGGCTCCATCACTTATTAGCTGAATAATATTGGGCAAAATACTGTCTTTTAAATTTCTTCATGTGTAAAAGGTAGATAATAATCCTATGTACTTCTTGGGGTTACTTGAGGATTAACGAAGTTCACATGTATGTCAAGTGCTCAGGACATTGTGTGGTATAAGGTAAATACTACTTAACTCTAGCTATTATTCTTTTTTGTTTTTGTTTTTCTGTTTTTCTTCTGGTACCAGGAATTGAACTCACAACCTTGTGCTTGCCAGGCAGGTGCTGTGCCGCTGAGCTAAATCCCCAGTAACTCTAGCTATTATTCTTAAGGCAGAGATAAACTCTGTTTTAGATGCTACCAGGACAGTGGCAGAGAAATTGGGGAACTATATACTTTTTTGAATTATAGCATCATCTCTATTCACTTAACTAATTTCTATAGCACTTCAGCAAAGGGATATAGGTATAACATTGTCTCTATATTTTCTTCTATTCAGTCACTACGTCTTTCTGTTTGGAGTTAATTTATCATAATTTCTCTGCCCGTTTTTCATGATTCAGAAAACATGTTAAGATTCAAGCCCAAGGTTTTTAACTTATTAACCCACTGGAGTCGGGCCTTCTAGAGGTCGTAGATCATAACCTTATATACCTCCCTGTCCCCAGCTTCTGGAGGCTTGCTAGAACTATGTGAAGGCTTGAGTCTCAGTGATTGAAGAGTCCAGTAGTGCAAGCCAGATGTTCTGTTGCTGGTTTCTTATTTCTTCTGTAGTTGAACCACCACCTGGAAAACCATAGACTTATTTAAAAACCTTTAAATAGAGTCTGGGCGCTTCAGTCAAAACATTTATGATAATGTTCTGCCCTTTGTTGTTATTAATATTATATAGTGAAATGGACATGGTTTCTACCCAGTAGTAGTCAGCACTTCTGGGCAGGACTGTGTGTTACTGGCATTTTCATTAGTCTTCAATGAACCCAGCTGCAACTGCATCAGCAGAGTTTCTTAGACTATTTTTCATATTTGAGGTTTGATAAAATTCAATACATATTTCCCCCATCATTTTCCACTTATACTAAAAGAACCCCCCAAAAACAAAAAAAAAACCCCAAAATACAAACACACAACAACCAAAAACAAAAAACCCAAACCCAAACCTTATATAATCCAAAACTATATACATGTAGAGACTAGGTGATTTTGGAGGTAAATTAGTTTGATATAGGAATACTAAGTTTTTAATCACTATGATATAGAATTCAACTAATGCCAAAGTTTAATTCTTTAAATCACTTAAACAGTTTTAATAAAATGTCCTGATCCTTAAAAGCAGTAAAAAACATTTTGACAAAAAAAGTAGGAACTCTGCAAATTCCTAAGACTTCTTCCATATTTTAATTAGCTTAAGACATTGTGGATTTCAGCATTAGTGTTTGGAATGGCAAGCCAGATCTGTAGGGAGAGGGTCAAACCTACCCAGCCTGAATGAAGGTATTTGTCTACCAGGGAACCCTGCCTAGGGCTGACAGAAGCAATGATATATTGAAGTCAGGAGCTCAACAACTGAGGTCAGAGCAGCATACCATGTCATTTAGCAGTATCAATGAGTCATCTTACTCGTTGTGCTGATGTTTCATTCCTTGCCCACCATTAGAGAATGTGGCCCCAATATCTTCAGCAGAAACTGTTTTAGGAGTTAACTTCTGTCTTACTCAAGCCTGGTTTATTCTTATTCAATAAGGACAAATGATTTATATTTATAAGACATATTACCTCTTTGGTGACACTTATGAAGAAAATGATTCCAAATACTTTCCTGCCCCTCGCCCCTACCCTAGTCCAATCCCTACCTATTCTTGTCATAGCCGAGGAGGCTCCACAGTCCCTGGTAGAAGTACTTTTTGGTCATTATAATTTGTGTAAAGAAAGAAGAGACCAAGAATAAATAGCATTTATTACTGGTTAACACCCAAGCCTCCAACTGTCTGGAAAACAGATCAGACTGAGTACCCTGTTGGGGCTGTTTGGGTGTGAGAGGCCTTAGGACTTGCACACAGCTGTGTCACCACAGTGGTTAACCTAGCACGGGGGAATTGGTGTGTGGTGGGCAGCTTTAGTCACCAAGGGAAATGATTTGGCCATTTCTAGGGGAGTTTACTGTAAAATAGAGATGTGTCTATAATATCACTTATTGAATTGCTCAGAGTACTTCAAAGAAACAGAAACCCCTTTGCTACAAGGAGCAGGTGTCATCATATTTCATCAGTAAGAAAATAAATTGGGTTTGCTTTAGGTCTTACAGTCATCCACAGCTCTCAGAGCCTATAATTTCAGACCTGGCTTGATGACTGGCCACTGTCATTGTGACCTCTTATGAACTGGCCAACCTGCTCACTTAAGAGGCTTCCAGCACAGCAGCCCATCTAGGTGCTTCTCTGGACATTTTCTTACTATCTGGCTTAGGATGCTGCCCTTTTCCTGGCTTCAGTGTGTGCCTCGTGGCTGCTCCCCAACTCACCTCTTGCACTCTGTACTTCATCACGGTTAGCAGGCTGACCATAGCGAGTTCTGTTCTCTGTGGTGCTTTTGGTCTATTTCCCCTAAATGAAGCAACATTTTAAAAATCTTTGTAGAAAGAGAATAAAAAATAATAAAAAATTAGAAATGATACAGAATTTCTAAAAACAAGATGGTAGGAATTCAATAATGGTTGTTCCATTGCGTATTGTTGTCTTCAAAGTAGTTGAGATTACCAGATAAAAGCATGTAAAATTGGTCAACAAATTAAGCATTAACTGTTAAGCATTAAGCATTAATTCTTCTTTTAATAAACCAGTAGAAATTAGTAGTACAATTATTTTAGCTGTCTTGTGTCATCATATATATATATGTGTGTGTGTGTGTCAAAACACATACACAGTGGGAAAAGAGAAGGGAAAGAAGGAGAAATTTTGTATGTATGTATATACAGGATAATTAACATGGTTGTTCTTCTGTCTTCTATTTCTTTGCTGAAAGAAACTGTCAGTGACTCTTTGGTTGATCAGTATTGCATTTCTATATCTGTTTTCATGAGAAGCCACTTTGAAGATATCAATATGTAATACAACAACCACTGTTAATTCCCTACCACTTTGTTTGTAACTCCGTATTGTCTGTACTGTTCTTTTGCTATGTTGTAGAATGTTGTCTGTCTGTTAATGTTTTCCTCCTTTTATTTTTAAAATAAAAAAAATAAAAAAAACCACATACACACATATATATATATATTTGTCCCTTCTTTTTTTCTCATTTCCGTCATCCCAGTCATCCTTTCCTTTTGAGCAGTTTCTTTCCTTTTCACAATATCTACTGTTTCTTTCCAATTAAGTAACATTTTATAGAAAGACTTCTCTCTTCTAATATCTATAACTAAATCGAGAAAAACTATTGTATGATTTTGAGATAAGAGCCATACTGAAGTATAAATAAGAGTTGATCAACTCATAGAAAGGGTACTAGAATTCAGCTTGTCAGCTCAGGGGAAGGAAAAATAAGCTAGCCTTTCTCGATGATTAACCAGTTGCATCCTTGCCAGTCAAGAGAACTGGGCACTATGAATTAGGACAGGGCAGAGGAAACCCAAGACACAGGCAGAGATGTAAAGCTCTGGCCAGTCTCTCTTTCTGGTCAGGGATCTGCTTCCGCTACGTTTTCTCCATTTCAGAATGTAAATGCTGAAGAGCAGGTGGTGAGGTGCGATGATACAAGATCGGCTTCAGAGTTAACTCAGAAATTTAAAATCATTGTATGCTGACTGGGCTTTTTAAAACTCCCCTGAGTCTTAATTTTTCATTTTTAATGAGAATTAAAATATATTATTTGAAGGACCATTGTAAAGATTAAAAATAACATATTTCTTTCCTGGCACATGACAGCCATTGGCTTAGTAGTAGCTCTCATTGATAATTGAAGAAGCACAGCCAGACCAATGATGACAGATTGTTACAGACCAGCAACATTAACTGATTCAATTCTGGGCCCATAAAGTCCATGAAAACTTTCTTTAAGATATTTTTCTTCTGCTCCTAAAACTAATACATTTTCATTGTCAAATTTGTAAAACCAGAGAATTGCATGGTTTTTATTTTGTGCATTTCCCTCTTTTATATGTGTATTTAAATAAAATCCATTTTAGGGTGCAAATACGGCTTTAGATATTGGTGTTTTTTCATCCAACATTATACTGAGAAGAGTGTCTTTCTTAAGGTTCTTACTTTATGTACCAAGAAGTTCCTCAAAATGTTCTCTTCAGGGGAACTATGTCTAATATGGGCTTACTCAATGCAGAAGTAAATTTCTAGAAGAGTATGAGAATTTACTAAATGGAAGCTCAGTTTTATAACCAAAAGTAAATCCAAAAGCCAAGCATTGTGTAGTGACTACTATGATCAGGTGAAATAGCATTGCCTTAATTGTTCACATAGCACATATAATTTGTCTTCTTTTATGAAAAGTTCCAAATATTTACAAAATTAGAGAGGATGAGCCACAGAACCCTAGATTCAGCTCCTCTCCAGCCTCAGCTTTGGTGAATACATGGCCAATGTGTGTGCACCTGTCACCCAACTCATTTCACTACCCACTACCTTCCAATTTTTTGACCTAGGTCCCAGATGCTTGATTTTCTACACAGCACAGTTTTAGGGCTGATTCTGTGTTGCTCTGTGGTATCTAACGCATTCTTATCAGTGTTTTGGGACCAAGCCCAGGCTTTAGTATGAGATATTGTGTGCAGGTATTTTGAGTCCCACAACGAACTAGCAACAACTATAAGAAAATGAGCCTCACTTAGTTTAAAAAAGAGATGATGATTCCTAGAGTTATTGTAAAAATTAAATAAGATGACATATGCAAAGCATCTACCAGCCCCCCTCAACTGGCAAATATTCAACAAGTATTGTCTTTCCTCTCTATTCCATCTTCACTTCCCACTCCTGAGAACTCCTATGATTCCCTCCTTGGCCTCTGCCCATCTAGTCACTGGTGCTCAGACTCTGTCATCTTTGTCCCTCACAGCAGTTTTCCTGCCTCCAACTCTCTTTAGGGAGTGCAAGCTTCTGTATTAGGAGCCAGGCTTGCTAGGACAGGAAATTAACAACACCTTTGCAAAGCCTAGAGAGCGCGGCCTAGAATTACTCTTATTGCCCTAAACCTAATGTGTGGGATCAAATTGAGACATTGGACCCCTGTGTGTCCTGCATCTTCTCCCCTGTGTCATGAGATTGAACAAGTATGGGTTTCTGGAATAATTTGCCTCCTTTCCCTGTCTCGTTTCCCGCATTTTTCTGTTGGGCCTGGAATTGAGTCTTCTATTGTTGGAGGGCTTTTAGTGTTCACTCAAGTCTGGCTTTTGGTTGATGGGTTGTTTGATCAGGCAGAATCACCTTTATTGGAGGCATGACCCATTGGAGAGGAGAATTCCCCAATGTCCCCATTGTGCTGCTGGGATGAAGGTATGCAAAAAATGGTCAGTGAAGCCAAGCGTGGCAGCTGATGGCTGGACAAAGTAGATCAGGGATGGGGAGACTCAGGTGCAGGTGTGGAACCATTAATACTTCTCTTAGGGAAAGTTAAACTCTGGGAAGGGTGGGTGCTTCGTGGGCCAAGGGCATAAAGATATTGGGTATGGGCTTGGAGGAGGAGTTGTGCAGTCTGGCTGGGTGGCAGGAACTTTTGGGAGGTTGAGCAAGTTGAGCCTTGACAGCCCCTAGAGGCTTGAGCAAGAGTACCTAGCTTCGCCTGCCCCCACTCTCTGGATAGGTCTAGCTCTCACTTTCTAGATGTGATAATAGGGGAGGTCTTACAAGGGCTATACTGTGTGCCCAGCACTGTATTTCCCACTAACTTAAACTGTCAGGTAGCTGGGAGTCATGTGATCCCATCTCAAGGTATTGCATTTAAAGAAGCATAGCACAAAAGGATATTCCTATTCTCTCTTCAAGACTTGCTAACATTTTAGAGTTTTTCAGCACATAATTCACAGCAAATTTCTTCTCTAGTGATCACAAATGTGAGATGGGCTCCAACTCTCCCATCCCTCCACCAAACTATTATTTCCACTTAGTCCCTAACATTTTGTTTTTCAGTCCTCTCTCCAGTCGGCCTCATGTTTCCCGATTTGTCCAGTTAGCACAAGTTTGTCAGTTTTGTCACAAAGTCCTGCACATCCTCAAGTCAGTTTATACTTTTTCTCTGACTTTTTCCTAGAGAATATACCGGTGTGGCTCTGATCTTTTCTTTTCAGACAGTAGGCAAGGAGAAAGAAGGCATGCAGGAAATGGTTTAAAGCTCTATTAACAGGAGAAGGGAGGCTTTTATTTTCTCCTCATCTTAGTTTCATTTTTCTTGTTCCTGAGACAGATACCTGACACTCAAAGTTAAAGGAGGAAAGGTTTATTTAGTTCACAGTTTGTAGCGGTTTCAGTTCATAGTTGGCTGGCTCCAAGGCAGGGTGGCATGACAGAGGGATATTGTAGGGAAGAAACAGTTCATGAAGGGGGAAAAAGACAGCAAAGCAGTGAAGTAGCAAAGCAGCAGCATCAAGCAACAACAGCAGCCCTCTTTCTGACCCTTATGTTCTATCCAGCATATATGCCCATAGGGAAGGTAGCACCAACACCCAGGTGAGCCCCCCCATTATCCACATCCAGAAATATACCAAACCAATCAGTAGACTAATTTTGTAATCACATATCCTTGATCCAAGCATTACACACTATAGACCCAGCCACCTCTTAAAAGCCCCACCTACTTCTGCATGAGGCGTTGGAGGGACATCTAGACACAAGCTGTAACACTCCTATTGCACAGTTCCACTTTCTGACTTCCTGCTCACCCATCTCTGCTTCTTGCCTTGTCCAAATGAGGTCCTTTTCTGTGCCAGCTGCCTTCTCCTGGAAATGCTCCTGTGCTTTTCTGCCTTGGTCTGTTCAGCCCCACTGTTGTCATGGTTCCAGTGTGACTTATGTCTGGGTCAAACAAATTCATGGCAAGGATTCAGCCTAAAGCTTTCTGAAAGAGTTTGAGGACCTCTAGGCCCTGCCCTTTTGAGTTTTGATATCTGGGCTTCTTCCCTATTCTTAGAGTCTTTTTTTTTTTTTTTTCTTCCTGTACCAGGAATCAAACTCACGACCTTGCGCTTGCCAGGCAGGCGCTTTTGCCACTGAGCTAAATCCCCAGCCCCTCTTCCCTGGTTGCACCAAGCCCTCTGTCTTTTGAACCAGACTGGAACTGTCCCTTCTTCTGTCTATGAGAGACTGGAGCTATGCTGTAGAGTCTCCATGGGGTAACCAAGGCTTGGCCACCTGCTTCCTGGAGGTTGCCTATTGGTCTGTATTTCTAAAGCTCTTAGATTCCTTTTTGAAGTTCTTTCTAAGTCAGAACAACACTAATATTTCCTGTCATGCCTCTTGTGCTGAGAGCTTGGCCTATACTCGGATGCTGCTCTGCTGTCAGGATGAATGGTGCCCTAGCACCTTTGTCTGCACTGCTCCTCAGCACGTTGCCCACTGTTGTGCAGTTTCTTGTGGTTTGGTCCTTCTTGCTCCAGATAAAAGGTGCAATATTATATGCAACTAGCCATTCTTATTATTTATATTGCAATTTTATTGTTATTATTGATAGCTACCATATCTAAGGAGCCTACTTCATGCCACATACCTCCCTCAAATTATCTTACATGTTCCTCACAAAGATCATAGGGGGCAGGTATTATAAACATTTTACAGGGGCTGGGGATTTAGCTCAGCGGCAAAAGCGCTTGCCTGGCAAGCGCAAGGTCGTGAGTTCGGTTCCTGGTACCAGAGAAAAACAAAAAAAAAAAAAAAAAAAAAAAACACATTTTACAGATAAGGATACTAATGTTCAGAGGAGTTTAGTAACTTCCTCAGTGTATGTCCCTAAATAGTGGAAAAACTAGGATTATAGCTTAAAAATGTAAGAAATGACTCAGACAGTAAAAACACATAGATTTGTAAGTATTACCAAAATAAATTCTAATTTATGGGTTTGATGTGGGGATGAGGGAATGTATATATTTTTACTAACTGAAGTGATTTTTGAATCAGTTGGTCATCCTTTAGAGGCGCTATATAACATATCATTATTCCCTGAGAGAAAGCTAATGATAGCCTTTGTGCCTTTGATTTCTCATATTACATAACTCATTTAAGAATGACTAGTTGCATATAATATATATGAGACATATTTTAACTCTGCCTTCAGTGATTTCCACAGGGCATGTGCAGTGGGTCCCCTGTGGAATTTTTGTGCTCAGAAAGTATGTCCTCAAGCTTTTGGGGACCAAGCAAGAAAACCTGTTCTGGGAAACAGAAGTTGAGAAGGATTAATTGTAAATGGAGATTACCTTGAGAGTCCTTTTGTCAATATCTGGCTGATAGTCTAAGGATCTTGTATGTAAGTCTAGAATAGAGCATGTTAGGAAAGCTATACACTCTTCAGCTGCATGTCAATTTCAGCAATTTGGGGCTGCAATGATAGAACAGTGTGTGATGTATGGCTTAGTAAGAGGCAAGCTAAGGAATGAGGAATGTCCCCCGGTCTAATTAGACAAGAGTATGTTCCCTTGGAATCAAGAGCCAGCCCCTTCTTGATGTAAAGATCTTCCTTAGCAGAGAGGAATATCCTAATAGTAATCCCACAGTAGTTATCCCTTATCAGCAATCCTCTTTCTCTGATGTGCAGTTGAACTCACTAAGCAGTTGTTCCATAGTGGGTCTGCTGGGTAGGAAAGGGAATCCTCAGGGGATATCAGACCAGTTCTCAAACCAGGTGAGTTCACTTGTTCATTTATGTTCTGCCTGATCAGTTGCTTTCAGATAGATGACTTTGGCTAGTACTGTATGAGCCACTGCCTAGAGCAGTGATGGGAAACATTTTAGAAGTCTCAGTGATGCCCGCTGTGGCATGTGTGCCATAGATTCCCCGCCACTGGCCTACAGTGTGAGCCCCCCAAGTACTGATGGCTGTGAGATTCAGTCTGGAACTACCAACCAGACTTTCTTTGCTAAAAAAACCATTAATCCAGGGAACCCCTATTGAACCTGTAAATGCCAGCTGGCTCTAGTCCTTGGTCATGCAGAAGCTTAGAGACTTTCTTTTCTCCTAAGGAGTAGATATTTGGAATGCTGCTTTTCACACAAACATAAAACTTGATACGAAAGCATTCAAATTAGCAAAACAGATAAATGTATCCTATATAGGTGGGTGGACAATTCAAAGTATACAATGGAGAGATCCCAGTAAAGGGGAATTGAATGATTGCCCTGTGAATCAGTGGCAAAAGTGGGGTTAGGATGTGTTGCTTAATTCCCATCCTATGATCAGTTTGATTAAATCTGTTATTCCTATCAGTGTCATTGCTTTGCCTCTATTTCCACTCCTTTTATTCCATAAGACTGTGTCTTTTTACTATCTGGGTTTTGGTTGGCTCATGAATGTCTTGGAATTTTGTTTTGCATATAGTAAAGAGAATTTCTGTGATATCTTTGATATAGCCATATGTAGAGATCTAGAGATCTCCTGGGGATAGTAACTAGTAATGGACAGGGTGAATAATTCCCTCTGTCAAAAAGGTATCATTCATGGGCTTTGCTTGAGGTTAATTCTCTATAGCACAGAAGATGACTTATATGGGAAAAAACCCAGCAACGGTCCAGCTGAACTATTGTGAAATATCTGAAGAACATTGTGGCGAGTGAGATGGGAGTGTGAGCTGGGTATAGCCAGCATATCTTACGCATGAAGGTGCAGGACATAAATTAGAACAATCCTGCTCACCATCCCCCAAAATCCAGTAGTTTCTTAGTATCAATTTTTAAAACAAACTTATAAATTACTCATAGTTAAGGTAGCAATTATTTGTAGCGCTTGTGTCTGTAAGAGTTGTGTGTCAGGTGCTTTAACTTTCAGTGGTAACAAACAGCCCTCTGAGGCATGTGTGCCATAGGTTCGCCACCACTGGCCCACAGTGTGAGCCTCCCAAGTACGGATGGCTGCAAGATTCAGTCTGGAACTACCAACCAGACTTTCTTTGCTGAGAAAGGCCTCCTTCTCTACAGTGTTGCCTGTCCCCATACTTTGCAGTGAACACTCTTATCAAGCAGAATCTCTTCCCCATCCCCGCTTCCTTGTGTTGACAGCCACAGCACCCACCCCTGGTCCTGGCCCCTTATTTGCTGAATGATTCTTCTGGAAAAGCCAAAGTGAACTTTTGTCTCACTTTCTGTGAGTGATCAGCTTATGGTGTCACCCACAAATCAGTTGATGAGGTTTTCTGGCTCAGAACACTAATAGAAATGCTACACTGAACACAGAACCCCTCATCTTTGAATTCAACCAAAACCCTAACATTCTCTGGAACAAACATATTTACCAGAAAAGCAATGATTTGGGGATGTTGAGGATAGCTTTGAAGTTTCTCCTTCTAAGAGAAGAACTTTTTTTTAATGTATCACCCTGGCTTCTACTGGGTACTTGCAGTTTTTGAAAACAAGCCTACAAAAGACTTTTGCTAATAAGTCACATGCACCATGAAGCTGAAAGTTTGCCTGTTTTGCCTGAAAACATTCTGTCTGTGCAAACTATTTAGGGGAGACAAAGGAAGAGGTGGTCAGGGAGGAATAAACACAGCTGGTTTCAATTCTGGAAGCAAAAACAGGCATTTTGCTCTCTCTGGTGTTACCTGCCTTAGGAGTCAGATCAAACACCTGAAGAGCATTAGTGAGCTGGGGTGTGTGAGGTCCAGCCAGGGACAGGGCTTGGAGGGGCTTGCTTCCCTTTGCTGAGAACTGTGGTAACATCATCTTTCCCCGGCTCCTTGTGTCAGCAGTCTTGGTTTTCACTAGTTGTGAAAGTTCCTCTTTTTGCAGAAAGATCTACGTCTTCCTTGCCTTATAAAAATCATCCTGAATGTAAGCTGCAACTATGAAAAAACCCCAGCAAACAAGAAGCAGCCTTTCTAAGTTATAGAAAAGTGAACTTTTATTTTCTATTTAAAGAGATACGAGTTTTTATAATGCTTTAGTAATTCTAGCAGAAGGAAAGTTTGATATAGACTCAATTTCCTAAAAGAAATCTTTAAAATACCCATTTCTGCTCAGAAGAATCACTTTCAGTTTTTATGAAAAGTAAAAACAAGTTTGGAATTGGAGATGAGGTCACTTGTAATGAAGCAATTCTCACACAAAATTGAAGAGGGAAGAATAGCATTTTTTTAAACACCAGAAGTTCATTAAATTTACCAGGTAATGAGGATTTGGTGTTTATAGTCAGTAGAGTAAATTTTAGCTGAAATTTGCTGTACTTATTATACAGTACTGTCTCCATCTATAGCATTCCTTTAATATTCTTAATCTCATTGCACTTTCCCAGTAGAGTTGTTTCTGATTAAAAGCGTATCTGTGTGTCTCAGGGGCTCTGCCCAGGTTTGGAAGAGGTGGTTCTTGTTCATCACCACCTTCAGCCGGGGTCTTCACACCTTCTCGCCATTCCACATGTTTTCTCTGGGTGATTTTATATGTCTCTTCATTTTCGGTGAGGCCTAGATATATTTATTAGCACCAACTACTCTCTTGCCCGTTAAACTTAAAGGTGCAACAGAAACCTCAATCAAAATATTCCAATCTCAATTCATTACCCAACATTCCTTCCTTAAAACTGCTCATGAACTTGGGAATCAATGTCGACTCAGTCTCCCTTCTTTCCTTAAATCTTGTCATGATTCAGTCCCATAAACTTGAGATAACTGTCTCCGTTCTCATGGCCATTGTTATGGTACAAGACTTACCTTGATCTCAGGCTATAATTTTACACTTGGCCTCACTACTTTCTATGTGGCCTGTATCTATGTAACTTGCCTTCTCTAGCCAGACCCACCTTTCTAAAGCATACTTCAGATTGTGACTCTGTTATTCCCCAAATCTCCAGGGCTT